TAATATAACGCAACTTCTTTTTTGTCTGTTCGTGACGTGTTACGAGAACTAAAGATGATGATGATAATAATAATAAATAAATAAATAAATAAAAAAGTAATTAATTATTTTTTTCATTTTTAATTTTTAACCGCAAACAACTTTAACCGCTGATTTTCTTTATAATTATCATCATCATCATCATCATCATCACATCATCATCATCATTATCTTTTGTGACGTCACATCATAAAACAAAAAAATTAAAATAACGTTTTCTTTTTTTGTAAGGGAAAAGAGGAAAAAGAAAACAATTTTCATATTTTCGATTTTATTATTATTATTGTTATTATTAATGGAATAAAAGGAAAAATTAAATAATTTTTTTTAATAATAATAATAATAATAATAATAATAATAATGATAATAGTGATAAATTGATTAATAATTTTTTTTTGTGTAATAAAAAATAAAAATAAAATTTTCCTTTTATTCGGTTTTGAAAATCTCTAAGGAAGAGCGCAAGAAAATTTTTTTTTTTTCTGTTGTGCTGTTGCTGTTGTTGAACGGAATTGACCCAGAAAAGGTTTAATATCAATAAAAATGAAAGCTTTTAGTGATAATGGCATTTTTATTTTTTATATATATAAAAATATTCTCTTTCATGTTATTCCGATTATTAATAAAAAAAAAAACATAAATGAAAAGAGAGTAAAAAAAAAAAGAAATTTTTTTTTAACTTAGAATTTATTATTTTTTTACTCAAAAAGAAAATACCCGGAAAATTAATAAATAATATTAATAATGATGATGATGATGATGATGATAATGATTACAATGATAAAAAAAAAAAAATTATCGATGAGGGGAAGCGCGTAAAAAAAAAACAGGAAAGGTTTCCCTCCTTATTATTTATTTATTTATTTTTCTTTAAAAAAATTTATTAAAAAAACGAGTTTTTATTTATTTATTTAAATTATTAAGATTTATTACTCGGTTTTTAATAAAATTTCAGGAAATATTATCATTATTATTATCATTATTATTATTCTAATTTTGGAAAAAATTATTTAAAAAAAAAAAACTTTTGGTTTAATATTTCAATGTTGTTGTTGTTGTGTCAAATGTTTGGTGAAATCACATTTTAAACTTTTTATTTTTTATTTAACGATGAGTAAAAATAATAATAATAATAATAATGATAATAATAATAATAATAATAATAATAATAATAAAGAAGGAGAAGAAAAATTTAATCGATTTTCAATTTAAAAAAAAAAAAAAAAAAAGAAATTTGACTTTTATTTAAAATGAATCGTTAACGAAACGTTTGCCCCTTCCCCTTTCCCCTTAAATCCCTGCCTTCCTCCTTCCTCCCTCTCTACCTTTATCCCTCCCCCACCTTAAAAGAAAAAAAAATTACAATTTATTATCATTATTTATTTATTTATTCATTTATTCAAGTTGGTAATTATTAAATAGAAAAAAATTACACACCCATTACGTTTATTTAAAAACGTCATCGTCGTCGTCGTCGTCGTTTTTTAGTTTTTAAATAAAAAATCAAAAATTCTAGTCAACGGCAACAGCAACAGCAACAGCAAAACAACAAAAACAACAGTAAAAGTTACAACAGTAATAATTTAAAAAGAATAAAAAAAAATTTCTTTTTTTTTTTTAGGCTTCGAAACTAGGTCATCTGTACAGTATTGATTACCAGAATCGGTCTCTGGTGCTTACTGTTGTAGAAATTGACGAACTTTTTTGTATTTTCCCAAAGCAAAGTTTTTTTTTTTTTTAAATTACTTTCTATATTTAGATGAATGTTTTTTTTCTTTTTTTTTCCTTTTTTCCTTTTTTTTTTTTTTAAAAAAAAAACATTCAACGTAAAAATTATTTAAGTTAATTTCGTCACGCAAAAACCTTTTTTTTTCCTTTTTTTCCTTTTTTTTTCTTTTTAAATAATTTATTAACTTATTAATTATAAATTTGATTAATTCAAACGAATTTTTTTTTTTATGCTTACCCTTTATAAAAAAAAAAACGACTACAATTTTTCCTTTGATTATTATTATTATTATCATCCTTGGAGGGTAAATATTTAAATAAAATATTAAATATATAACAAAAAAAAAAAAAGAAGAAAACTAATTTTTTTTCTGTTTTTTTTTTTAAGGTGAGCATAAGAATCGTTAATTCAAAAAAAAAAAAAAATGGCGGAAAAGCAGAAGAGAAAAAGCAGAAGAAGAAGAAGCAGAAGAAAAAAAGCAAAAGAAGAAGCAGAAAACAAAAACATTTGTTTCCAATTTAAACTTTTAACTTGTGTTTAGCTTTCTAATTTTTCCCATACATATACATTGTCTTTAACTTTATTGTTCGATGGATTTTTTCCTTTTTTTCCTTCCCCCCCCCCCCTATTAAAATATTTCTTTCTTTCTTTTTTTATTTCATTGAAAATAAAAAGCCTCGGGAAATGTTTTCTTTTTTTTTTTTTGTTTTAAAAAAAACCTTTTTTTTTTTAATCTCGTGTAATTGACTTTACGGTTTCTTTTTTTAAAAAAAAAAAGGTTTTGCTGTTGTTAAGTAAAAAAAAAAAAATGG